TTCCCACACTCTTGAAATATTCTAAACAATGTTTCTAAACTCTAAACTTTCTAAAAGAGCACAGAATGTCATGATTTCAGCTCCCTGCCTCCTCTGCTCTTTGCCACCTGCAAGCGCTCTTGGCCACGCCCACTTTTCTGCTCTACACAGAGAACAGCTGATCAGCTGCAGCAGGAATCTCATCCTGCAGTGTGGGCTGCACGAAGGTGCAGCAGGTGCTAAATAATTTTAAATTATTTATTTTAAATAAAAACTCCATGCTGATTGTGCGGCTCATCCATCAATCAGCCAACTGTGTGTCATGTCCAGACATATTTTGAAAAACCGCGATAGAGCAAGTCCGCAATAAACGAACCACAAAGTAGCGAGGGACTACTGTATACTGGTATTTTATTTTATTCAACCTTTACTTATACAGGTTAATCCCATTGAGTCTCGGGGACTCATTTACAAGAGATACCTGAAAAAATACCAATATATATCGATATATATCGTGTATCCTACTCCTCGATGCCTGAAATCCTCCATGGAGAAAAGACATCAAGTAAGCCATATCACATTCTCTGGACAATAGCACCATATTCTTGTGCTACTAAATACTCACCATACCCCGTCTCCTACAGCCCCCTCCTGTGACCCATTCTTGTAAAAAAAGCACTTTTTACAAACTGTTTGGTTTCTGGTGTCTCAGTAAAAGCTCTGGATATTGAAACCACTGAACAGGATAATCACGTTTATGTTTATTGATATTACTGATGATCATGGGGTAGATGATACATTCGGTTTTATAATTTTACATGTTTTTTTTTTACTCTTTTCACGTAGTGGATATTTTATCATATTGTATATTGTGATTTTTTTCCCCATCCCTGTTATTGTTATTAACTTAACCTGCAGCAAGTTGACATTCCTGCAGAGGATGTGGCAGGAAAAGGAGGATTCCTCCCAGATGGGCTCCGTCTTGATGAAGTGTTCGGACTGAGCTGTATATAAGTGGAGGTTTTGCCCCCGTGTGGCCCCTCGGACTCAAATGGAAAGATGTCGTTTTGGATCAAGAATAAGAAACTGAATAAAACCTATTTTAAAATGTGAGGATGTGTCTCTTCACTGATACAGCCATCTGCATATTTTGTCTCAAACAAGTCCACTGACCTTGTCCTCTGTTTTCATATAAAGTAAGTGGTTATGTCGACCCCCCACCATCACTGAGAGACTTGAATATTTGTAGTTTTTGAGTGTTTTTCTGGACTGGAATTGAACAGGGAAGGGAAGTAAACCTGAATGTTTTTGTTTAAATGAAACAAAAGCATAATTTTCACTTGAAATTTTTGCTATTAGAAGTTATGGGAAGATGTTTATTTTTAATTGACTCCAACAAGAACTAAAATGAAACAGCTTTTGGATGTTCAAAACACAAAAGTGGAGGTATTAACAAAAGTATTTCATGCTTTTAATTAACTAACAAAAATATCTTTGTATAAAAAAACTTGCAAACTTAGACAAAAATTATCAATGACTTTACCAATAAAAACGTTGCTTTATTTTTTGTATTGTTAACACTTTTTCTTCACATAGAACCATCAAACATCAGATAATGTGTTGTGAACACACAAATACAAGCAAAAACATTAATGCCCTTTGGCCTTCGGTGGGGCGCCATTTCCTGTTTGGAAGATTTTAAATTGTAATAAAGCTGGATTTGTTTTCTGGATCAACTCGATAAATCTTTATTAATTAGAATATTTATTAATTAATAAGATTTACCTATAAATAAAGGTTGAATGAAAAAAAAAATCTACATTTTAACCAGTTTTTATTAAATGGTGCCACCTTGTCCTCATAACAAAGAGCATTTCTCTTATTGAAGAGGGTTATACTTATAAAAAACAAACAAAAACACAAAAATAATTTCAGAACCACAAAAGAAAATTAATACACGTACATTATCTCCATTTCAGCAACTTCTTCAGCTTTTTTTGGGCTCTGTTTCCCTCAAAGTGTGGGGCTCGTCTTCATACCTCAGCTGTTTCCAGCAGCTTAAACATTCTTGTCAGCACCTTTCACATTGATTTATAACAATAACAAATACTGCATTTTACATTTTAAGTGCACTTATAAAACATTCTTAAAGATCACGCGGAAGAAAACATTGTTTTTTTTTAAATATTCTTATAGGATTTTTAAAGGACGGCAAACTGACAGGATCGATGCTGCGATTCACGCCGTGGGTTTTTCAGCGCTGCTTCGTTTTTTCTCCTTGTGGTTCAGTTCTTTGGTAAAGCTTCAATATTTTTTTGTCATGAAAACTCTTCCACAGATCCTTCTCCAGAATGAAGTCGTGGTTGGCGTAGAAAACGATCTCGGTTTTGCGAGTCTTTTCAACATAGTAGTTGGAGTATTTACTGTAGTCTTCTGTAATGAATCCGTACGCACTCACCTGGAAAAAATAAATAAAATAAAGTCAAAGCCAGAATGAATTCAACAAGTGATACGCCGATGTTCCCCATCGCTGATGAAGTTGAATAATTAATGTTTTGAGTTTTTGAGACATGTTTTTTTCTGGACAAAATTTTGATGTGGCAACCCAGATTTTGATAGTCTTACTCCTAGAGCAGGGGTGTCCAAAGTGTGGCCTGAGGGCCATTTGTGGCCCTTGGATTGATTTTCTGCGGCCCACGACTGCAATTAAAGAATGGTTTAATTTTGACCCACAGGCTTAAGAGGTTGATGCACTTTATTTAGATTTAATGCTGATACTTTTTAAATATAATTTTTAGGTTTAACAGCAAAAAAGATGAAAACAATCTCCTCGAAATGAGCGAAATCAAGTACAATACAAAAATGTAGCAATAATTCCTTTATCCTACAACAAACCTTCAATGACCTACCAAAAAGTAGAATTTTGCATGATAATTCATAAAACTTGACAAAATGTAATAAGTTTTTTTTCAAAGAAAATAATTTCAGTTGAGTTACTAATTGATGGGGAGAAATTTGACATTTTAAAAATAATGTAAAGTATCATCGACATACAAGTTGATCAACTTTATCAGTGTCCCTTAAAAACCTTCTACAAATCTGTTTTAGTGACTGCCAGCTGTTTGTCAGAACTTTAATGACCCATTTGGGCCATCCATGGTCCAAATGGAGGATTGAAGCTCCACCCCCCTTTTTTAAAGAGCAGTTACTCATTTTAGGCTTTTGTCTCTGAAAATAAATGAAAATGAACTTTCAAAATCTAATAAATTAAATTCTTAAAAAAAAAGAAAAGAAAAATAAAACTAGGTTAATGTTTATAAGGCTCATAATGTTCTGGATCTACAAGAATTTAAACAAAACTTTTAAACTTTAAGTATTCAAGTTGTTAAAAATAAGGAGGAAAAAAATTGCTTAAATTTTTTTCTCGTGAACTCAGATTTTTCTGGCCCGTGACACCTTTCATCTAGACAGTTCTGGCCCACCTATGAAAATGTCTGAATACCCCTGTCCTAGACCAAGCCACACACCAAAATGGAAGTTTGCTGATTTTTCAAGTTATCACGCTCACAACGGTCGAACGGACGAAGGAACAGAAGGTACAGTTGTCCCTCGCTTATCGCTGGAGATACGTACCCTGAAGCCACGCATGAAAAACCGCAAAGTATGAATAGTAGTTCATGTAGTAAGTAGTAGTTTTTGTTATTATATATATATATATATATGTTTTAAACCCTTTCCCACACTCTTGCAATATTCTAAACAATGTTTCTAAACTCTTTATGCTCTGAAAGAACACCGCATGTCATGATCTCCTCTCTTTGCCACGGCTGCACTCTGCGCTCTTGGCCACGCCCACTTCTCTGCAGAACTGCAGAACGGTGATCGACAGAGGAGGAAGGAGGAGAGAGGAGGAGCTCCAGGAGGAAGTTTCTCCTACGGTGTGGGCTGCACACAGGTGCAGCAGGTGCTAAATAATTTTAAATAATTCATTTTAAATAAAAATTCCATGCCGATCGTGCGGCTCGTCCATCAATCAGCCTATTGTGTGTCATGTCCGATCTTATTTTGAAAAACTGATAGAACGAGTCTGTGAAAAATGAACCGCCAAGTAGCGAGGGATTACTGTATTGCCATTTCCCTCTCTTCACTCCATGACAGGGGACAAAAAAAAAAAAAAAAAAATGCATGAATGTTTTTTATAGAACTTTTATTTACACAAGAAACTGTTTATCAAATGGTGCTAAACAAAGACGAGTCTGCTTTTTAAAAAATACTGAACATTTGATGTTTGTACTGCATCGATACAATGTAATATACACATTTCCATTCCAAAACATAGAAATAATAGTTATAAAAAAAATCTGTAAGATACAGAGATATTGGCTTAACCCTTTCTGAGCTGATTCCTCTGGAGTTGCATTTTTTATTGAGGATTTAAGACTTTACGGGCCAGACAGAGCAAACTAGTGAGTAGGATTTGGCCCGGGAGCCACCAGTTAATAATCCCTAATCAACATCATTAAGACCTACCTTTATATATAAAAACAAAAAACTAAATGTGTAAATACTTTGCTTGTTAGGGTAGGTAAATTTGATAAATTATATATTTTTTGTTTAAAAAAGCAAGTGATATTTTTTCCCTCTCAAACTTATCCAGATACAAAAATGTAAAAATAAACACATCACCATGTGGAAATACCCAAAACCAGTTGTCAACTTTCAGTGAATAGTTAAAAAAAATAAAAAAGTTTCCTGTAAGGCCTCATCGTGGTGCTTTGGCACCATTTTAAACTTTTTCTGTCTGCCGTGAGTGTCAGGTCTTCTTTAAAACACAGCTTTTCATATTCTGCTGACCGTCTGTGAGCAGGCGAACACAGTCTCCAGTGTTCACGTAAACACAACAGGAACTTTATCAGAACATGTCACAACACGAAAAGCAAATATGTTATCAGACAATTGATTTTCCAGGAACTAGTTTGCTTTATTAAAGAACTAGAGCACAGAGGCATGACGTTCCCTCAGCAGAAGTATCGTCTACAATAACACCAAGCTGTCGTCACTACGCACATTCCTGGCGTTATTTGCATTAAAGAACAAGCAGGAAGAAGAAAGAAAAAGTAAAACCCAAAAATGCCCAACTGTCAATTTTCATTCAACCTTTATTTAAACAGATAAATCACATTGAGCCTCGAAGACTCATTTACAAGTGGGACCTGTTTGGACAGACAATAAAAATAAAATTGCTTCCACTGGTTAAAATAATCTATTAGAGGAGTTTCAGTCAGGGTTTGGAGCACATCTTAGTGCAGAGACAGCACTAGTAAATGTTATAAATGATATTCACAGCCTAAGACAGCGGACTTTTGTCCTTACTGGTCCTGTTAGTCCTCAGTGCTGCATTTGATACAGTTGATCACAATATTTTAGTATAGAGGCTTGAACATGATATTGGGATTACAGAGGCCTTTAAAAATGTTTAAATAATATTTATTTGATAGATTCCATTTTTTTTTAACTTCTTACACTACTGTTCGTCATGGAGTTCCTCAGGGTTCAGTGCTTGGACCAGTACTCTTTAACTTTTATATATGCCTTCAAGTATCTACATACTTTTAAGACTAGGCTTAAGAGTTTCCTTGTTTATTTTTAGTATTTTTATTTTTTTTTATTTAATTTAGTTTCCTAGAGTTAGAGTTGCATTCGGGCCCAACAAATCTGACCCAGCCCCAGCCTGTAGCCATCATTTCTGAACCCCACCCAACCCGATGAATTGACAGTATTACAGGTCCAAACTCGAACACCCCCCCCGCCCCCCCAACATTTTTAATTAAGCTTTGACTGCTTATATAGTTATTAATGGTCGGCGGACACACATGGCTGAATAAAAGGGGCAGAAGATCGGAGCTGAGGGGGTGTTTGTCCTTTCATGGCCGTCAAAGTGCATTAAATCTCTGTTTCTGCCTGCATTCTGCATTATTCAGACATGGACCCTGCTTTGACATGTCTGCATTGGGATCTCGCCTGTTTGGGTTGTCAGCCACGCACGTCCGCTGAGTGCAGCGGCTGAACATCCATTTGGGAGATGGATTGCTTCCTGGCAGTACCGGTAGTCCCATTGGAAGCTTAATTGAGCTTTATTTTACTCTTTCAAGGCCGGTCAGTTCGCCATGTTGCCATATAATTGGAAAGTATGGCAAACCATGTTGCCATATAATTGGATCATCAGCCGCGCGCATCCGCTGATGCAATCAAAAGTCCGACACCGACCTGGCCCACCCATCCAGCACATTATTATGGCCCGATCCAGCCCAAATTCGGGTCGGGCCGGGCCGGGCTTTGGGCCTGAGTTGGAAATGACAGATCTTAGTTATTGGCTTGGGGTCCCTGAGCTATTGCTTATTTCTGCTGCTATACACTCAAACTGTTGAAGAACAAACTGACCATTTCCTCACCCTGCTGCTGACTTTACACACTCCATTCTTCATGTTTGCATTCGCAAATACTGCTGTCATTAACATGTCTATTTTGTTTTTCTTCCCTAGGAAACACCTAGACCAGGTATTCTGTTTCTTTCCTGTCCTCTCAAACCCCAGCTGGTCGAGGCAAATGGCTGCCCATTTGAGCTTGGTGCTGCTGTAGGATTCTTCTTGTTAAAAGGGAGTTGTTTCTTTCCACTGTCTCCATGTGCTGCTCGGGATGGGAGGCTGTGACCAAGTTAAGATTTGATACAACCTGCCGGTTTCCTTAGATAGATAACTTTCACTGATTGGCATTTTGCTGTACACTATGCTGTGCATTGCATTATTCTAAAGACGGAGATGACGGAAGACGCGCACAGCAGATTCAGTTTCATACTGAAGCCCAACAGTCGGTTGTTTCGACATGTCAAAGGATAAACAAAACTGTGGTTTGTGGTCAACAGAAAATTTCCCTCCTAAGCTCCTCCTGCCCTGTGATCCTCAGTGACAGCAGGTAAGGTGAGTGAAATGGAAAATGGTTTCATGTGCCAACAAAGAGCCCAGTAAGACCAAAATAGTTACTTACTGAGTCGCATGTGTGCAGAGCCAAGAAGATGGTAAACGCCCCGTTCGTTGGTCGGACGATTGACCAGTAGATATCGTCCAGATCACTTGACTTTAAAAACCTGTGGGCAGGATAAAGATGAGGAAAGAGGCAGCAAATGCTCCAAGAATCTCTGAAAATGCAGTTACGTGCAACAAGTCACATGCCACGCTCAGAGCATGACTCTCAGCTATAGTGTTGTAGTACTCGAGACCGGTCTTGGTCTCAAGACCACTTTTTGATGGTCTCGGTCTTGTCTCGCACTCGACCGCCTTTGGTCTCGGTCTTGTCTCGATCTCGGACATTGAAGACTCAGGATTTTATTTCAAGACCAGTCAAGAACACAACTGTGGAAATATCACTAAATTGCCAGAACATTGCCCAGTTTATTTGTTAACATCTTTGTTTTTATTGGATTTAAAACATACTGATTCAAATCAAATCGATAACACGACTCATTGCTAATTTTTTTTTTTTACCGCTGTCACACCCACCCTCTTTCACTCGCACGCGTCACTCCCAGTGTGGCCAAATTGGGCGGTGTACTGACAATTGGGTGGTTTTCATTCTGATTTTGCTGGGAACTCTGGGAAGAATTTTGTTGTATTGTTGCGTTTTGCCACATATTGTTAAATTACCTTGGCTTGTACTGATGTGTGTTCATGTTCAAACAGTAAATATATGTAACAATATATTGATTGGGCAGATTTTTGTCTGATATGGCGGTTTTTAACAGTTTTGGGCTGGATAACCTCGACCCTGTCTGGCAACACTGGAAGAAAACGAGAAGTGATTGTCTGGGCGCAGGACAAGCTGTCTTCCATATCATCAGTTATAAAATTTGCCTATTTAAATCACAAAGAATATACTTGTAACTAATGCAACTTTATGGTTATCCTTGGTCTTGAGTTTGGACTTATGAAGAGTGTTTTGCCACTGCAGTTTTTTAAGGCTTGGCATGTGATGAAACTGCTTCCAGTTTAACAGCTGTGTAATTGTATTGTTGAAACACGTTAGGTCACGGAATGTCTGATTTCTTTATGTAGCTTTGAAATTTTACAAAAGCTGATAAATTCATTCAAAAGCTAACTTAAACTTGCAGTATGTAAATTTTATAAAAAAATATTTTATAATAAAAATTTTTATTTTATTTGAAGTCTTGGTATCGACTTGGTCTCGAACCCTAAACGTCTTGGTAATGACTTGGTCTCGGGTTAAGTGGTCTTGAACACAACACTACTCAGCTACTACCACGTCAAATTTCATCATTTGATGTTGTGTATAATCCGGTATTATCATTTCTAAATTTTGGGCTGTGTCATAATACAATAGTTGCAATGCATTGTGGGGTTTTTTTTGTATTTATTTTTTTAACAATTCTAAGTAAAGAAAGCTTTAATTATTTAAACATATTACATTATGCATTTTTTTCTTCAGGGACGTGCGAGAAATAGTGATTTTGTACAATTTTAAACTCCATAAAAATGAAGAGGTACACCTTTCACTGTTGCTTTAAGAGTACTTAATAATTTATGGCAGAAACAAAAAATTTAATCAATTTCAACATTTTTTTTTTTTTTATCACTGATCTAGCTGGAGGTGAATAGAATGACTAATACATCCCTAAAAAAGTGGCTAATGTGCAACTTTATCATCCAAACTCATGCATTTAGTGGAAAACAGCCTGAGTGGTGAATTATTTGTGTGAAACGGTTAAATTGTATCGTTTTTGTGTAGGATTGTGATCAATGGCTGACCTGTTCCGTACGTATCGCATGAAGTCTTGATGCAGAACGTAGAAGCGGCTCTCGTTGAACTGTCCCGAATAGTAAGATCTGGGGCTGAAGGGTGACAACACACACACACATAAACTGTTAGTGATGATGGAGGAACACCATAACTCATTTTCCTCAGTATAAACCATTTTCGTGCCTGTATAAAAACAAACTTCACTGATCTTTTGCTCTATAATTATCTGCCATGACTGAAAAATGTTCATTGTGCTGCTGGTCCATATGAGCAAACACTTCATCCTCCTAATAAAGAATGTGAATACTTAATTACTTACTGTGTACTGTTTATTTTGTGTTTTTCAACTACTTTGACCTTTGTAAAACTGACTTCATGAAGGTTTTCAGTGAGTTTTTCCTCAGTTTTTTATTTATCTGCAGTCATCGGGGCAGAAATAAATCAGCCTCATGGACACATTCTACTGGTTTAGGCTTTCTGATACCAATTTATTACTCTGTATCTCAAGTGATCTTATTTATTGAAGAAATAGCGCGCAGAAAAACCTGCTGTGTCCACCAGTGGAGATTTTCTGTTTAAAAAAATAATTTGTGAGACTAAAATTAGAAGGTAAATTAGTAGTGAGCTAAACATAGAAAACTAAAGGCAGAAAGGACATTTTCTCCAACATGGACAGCCTAAATTTAGTCTTTTTACCCTTTAATAAGCTCTGCATGTGGGTAATCCAACTAATTATGAGGCTTCTGAATGTAACGATTGGGGCTTTTATCCTACAGAAAACTTTTATCTTTGATAATTTAGATTATTGTAGTAACTTCAGAAAGCTGTGTACCTGTCCGTCTGGTTTTTGTACTCAGGTGACATGACATAAATTCCTGTTAGGGGTGGATGTGGGTGTGAGATACCTTGAACTGTACCAGGAAAGAAAAAGATGACAACTTTGTGCACAAAAACACACTCAACAAAATAAATATCAAACAACTCATATCCTGGATTTTTGCACAAAGAAATTAATATTGTAAAACATCTTTTTATGCTCAGGAACCATTACTGTCAAGCACCTGTTTGCACGCCAAGCCTTAAAATAAAGCACTTCATATTAATCAGATGACTGAATGAAGTAATAATATGTAATGAATTAATGTGCTGACGTTTTAGCAGAGACAATACATTTAAATATTTGTTAATTACTGCGTTGTGTAATCTGAAAACTGGCAGTCGCATATTTTAATGATGACACATTAAAATGGAATCAAATTAAATTCAGATTAATTTAAATAAACTGAGTGCATGGAACAACAACAACACTCACTCTTTCTTTTCATATTCGCCAGAAGAGACAACTTTTCCTTTGAGAAGAGCCCGAAGCCACTGGAAGTCCCTCTGTCCCTCAGGAATCAGGACGTATTTTATACCCTGTTCAAAGAAAGACAAAACACACGTCATGTTTTACGAGTGTAGCAAGTACAACTATTACAGTAGTCCCTCGCTACTTTGTTGTTCAACTTTAGCGGACTCGCTCTTTCAAGGTTTTTCAAAGAAAGATTGAACGCGAGGAAAAAAAATGTACACGACTCATGATAGTCAACTTTAATATTACTCATGTGATTGGGACAGTACAAAATACTGTACAGTAAAATGTTATCAAAAAATAAAACACTTTAGACAAGCGCTGCCCTTTTGTAATTTTCTCTCATTAAGCCTATACTGTATCCCCGTTCTTAACAACTACATTTCCCAGAAGCCAACAGTGCCTCAGAAGCCCCATTGCCTTCTGCTGAAATACGTAGAGGGAAAGTTTTGATATGAACCGAAAATGTTCGGTTCTTTACAGTGACTTTGACACCCAGTGGATGCAGCGAGCCCTGCACGGAACCCACTGGGAACCGGACCCTCAGACCCACAAACCCGAGAGCTGCTAGCCGGCCCGTGAGGACTTCCGAGCAGGGGACGCACCACTGTAGGTCTGGCGCTCCCTCCAGGGCCTACCAGGACTTTTTCATCTCTACTGGAACGCTCAATCAGACCACCGGTCCCACGCTGGCCACACAAAGGTACACCCCCCCAGTTGCATAGAACCGGAGCAGAACCAGACTCCTAGACCCATCAGTGAATCTGAGAGCTGCTAGCCAGCCCACAAGGACTTCCAAGTGGGGGTCGCATCGCCATAGGTTCGGCTTCTCTCTGGAGCTCACCGCCACTACCCCAGCCAGAGAGCAGACCAGAACCGGCAGGGTAGATCCGCCAAAACTGAACCAAGTTGGACCAGAACCGAGCGTCTGCTGTTCTGCCGAACTGGTGTGTAAAATTTAGTAGCTACATATGTATGTTGTTAATGACGTAGGTTTAAGAGTTTAGAACATTGCAAGAGTGTGGGAAGAGTTTCTAAAGCCTTAAAATATAAATAAATAATAAAATAAATATAATGTTGCTACTTTGCGGATTTTCACTTATTGCATGGGGGTCAGGAACGTAACCCCCGCACTAAACAAGGGACTACTGTACACTGTTATTGCAGCTTCGGTACCTCATCGTGTGGGGCACTTTTGTAGCCGTATTCCCAGAAGACCAAAGGCGATGTGTTGATTGAGTGAGCCGTGTGAACGTACACCGACGTTCTCCTCCCAACGTCCTCCTCATAACCCTTGATCACTGCACCGTTCATCCTGCCACACAATGAACCAGAGACATCACGGTTAAATTACCATTAAAATGACTTTTAGAAATAGGTCAGATAGAAGTCAGAGCTGCTGTTAGACATATAACTGAGTAATAAGTTTAACCTCTCAGCTACTACCACACCAATATTTGGCTCATATCTGTAAAACTAGCCGAAGTACAGCCACTTTTGTTTAGGCTAAGGTAGATTAGCTGTAGCGGTCATCTTGATCAGATGTTAACATTTAATCATCTGTAGATAATTAAAGATTTGTGCAGTGGTTTATGAGATATTTTGCTAACAGGCAAACAAGGTTGATTCTAACAGGTAATACCAAGTTTTTTTAGATATGATTTTGAGATAAAAGTTATAAGTTGCCCCAAAATTTAAAACATGTACATCAAATTTATTTTCTTAGAATTTAAATAAAATTTATTTCAGTGTTTCGTGCAATATTTTGCTAACAAATAACAGTTAATTCCAATAATCCATTGCAAACTTATAAAAACAGATCAAACAAGTTTGGACTCTTTTTATGCCCCAAAACAAATGAAAGAAATCTGAAATAACTTGAACTAAATTACTTGTTGGTTTGCACTTTTTGTTGACGGCAGGTCCGAGAGACGTTCTATAGTAGGTGATTCACCATCGTCACTCCAGCTTCCAAAGAGTCTCAAAATATTTTGCTTTGCACGTTTGAGTAGTTTCAATTTGAAACCAATATCATGATGTGATTGAATTGCACATCTTTAGGCTATTGCTGCTCTTTATTTCATCTCATAAATGTTAACAAGAGAAACTGCATTTCCTACAAAGATGCAGTTTGAATGCTTATTGCAGAAAAACTTTTTGAGAAACAGCTGAAATTAGCTTAAAAAACATGCAGAAATGTAGCTGAAATGGAAGAACAAACCTAAATTAACAGAATAAAGCAGAAACAACACATATTTGCTGAAATAGGTTTAAATAAGCAGACATTTGCTAAAAAGTTAGGAAAGTAGCTACAAAAGCTGAAATTAGCAAAAAATAAAAATGCTGAAAAGTAGCTGAAAAGGTAGAAAGAAGCTTAAACGACCAGAAGGAAGCAAAAAGAATTGAAATGAGGTTTAAAAAAAGTGCAATTAGCTGAAAAGCTTAAATTAGCTTACAACAGCTAAATAGTAGCTGAAATAGCAGAAAAAGCTGAAACTAGCATAATTAAGTTGAAAGGCACATAACAAGCTGAAATTAGCAGAAATAAGTTAATTGGGTTCAAAGTAGCAGAAATTACCATGAAAAACTTGAATATCTGAAAACAGCTGGAATTAGCTAAAAAAAATGCTACAAAAAAAGGTAGCTGAAAAGGTAGAACAAGCTAGAATTAACAGAAGAAATCAGACAGAACACGTTTGCAAAATTAGACTGAAAAAAGTAGAAATGAGCACAAAAAAAGTGGAAATTATCTGAAAAAAGCTGAAATGAGCAAAAAAAAAAAAAAAAAAACCAGCTGAAAAGTAGCTAAAAAAGAAAAAAGAAGCTTAAATTACCAGAAAGAAGTGGAGAGAGCACATTTGTGCTGAATTAGACTGAAAAAAGTTTAAATTAGTGCAAAAAATGTGAAATTAGTTGAAAAAGTTTAATTAGCATAAAAACAGCTAAATAGTAGCTGAAATAGCAGAAAAAATGAAACGCATAAATAAGCTGAAAGAAACATAATAAGTTGAAGTTAACAGAAATCAGTTGGAACACAAAACAGCTGAAAAAACAACTGAAATTAGCTGAAAGTAGCAGGAAAAAAGTTAAAATTTGCACAAAGAAGCTGAAGCAGAATAAAATGACAGGAGCAGTAAAAGGTTGTAAACAGATCTAAAGAAATGAAGGATGTAAAATGAGCTCAATTCAGTTTCTATGAAATAAAAAGTGGTGGTACTGTGCTCTTATGTCCCTGTCGCTGAGGAATTTGAATAGTGAATGTTTGTAGTTTTTGAGATGAGTGTTTTTTTTGGAATGGAATTGAAACCTTAATGTTGGTGCTGTGAGATCCTCAAGTGGGTCGAAGTTACACTGAAAGGTGCTGTTTTTTTATTTCTTGTCCAAGACGACACAGACAGACTGATCCTGGTGAACGAAGGGAGCATTTTAATTCACCACCAGTTGCAATGGCGGAGCCAGGGGGTGGCCATTGGTGGCTTTGCTCATCATAGATTATTGTTTATCACCCTAGATATTTGAGGGAACTATACTTTTAAGGAACATAAAAACTAGAAAGCTCAGTTTCCTCAAATGATAGGGGTGGTTGGTTTACATATATATATGTGGTGGTGGCAGCCATCTTGGATTTTATTATGGCAACACAATTTTTGATACGGACCTTTTTTTTAACGCCTCGATGCAGCCCCACACCAAAATGGAAGTTGGCATGTTGCTTATTTTTCAAGTTATCCAATTCACAAGTTTAACATGTACACATGATGGCAGCCATCTTGGATTTTGATGTGGCAACCCTATTATTGAAAGAAAACTTTCCTATGCCTGGATGTAACCACACACCTAAACGGAAGGTGGTACCTCACTTATTTTTAAGTTCACAATATGCATGGAGAGAGAGACAGAGGGTATGTTTAATTCCTCCTCTTTGATCTTCAACGGGGGATTCATCAGAATTTCTTCTGCGTACCAGCGGTGGTATGAGAGCCACAGTTTGCGAACCACAGCCCCAGACTGAAAGGACAGCTTGAAGGTTTGTGTTCAAGAAACCGAACCTGGTTTCTGTGGTGGCAGATGAACAAGGGTGTAATGAAAAGAATCAGCATAAATATCAGGGCCGTTTGTGAAACAGCAACATTTAGAGTACAGGAGGGTCTCAAGCACGCAGCTGCAGCATCGTGCAAATCCGTGTCATCTGATCCTTGCATGTTCAGTTTCCTTTTTTAGAACCTTATGAGTCCACAAACTCAACCAACAGGTTTGTGCTCGCCGTTCATCTCACCGGAAAACGTAATCGTGAGCATCGATTTCTGCTCCCATTTTGGAGCCGTTGAGGATGCCTCCGTTCCCCACCACAGCACAGCGCACGCAGCCGTCGCCACCCGGCTTTGGAAGGAGCAGCGGCTCGTTTGGCTTTGGGATCAGCTTTACTGCAACTATTACATCTGCAGACAGGAAACAAAGTGATATCCAGTAATCTGAGTAGAGTAATCTGATCTATAGTGGCACTCAGAACATGACAAAAGACAAAAACATAAAAGGCCACCATGGGGATAGTTAAGAAAAAAGAAGTTGTACAAACAAGATAATAATTTGTCATGGCAAATAACAAACACACCATTTTTCATCCTGATGCTCCTCTTGTTCTGGTAAAAAAACAAACACTAGACCCACCCTGCTGCATGTTTGTTTTATACCTGCACACATATTTGTAGGTTCTCACAGTTATTTCCTGGCCTTCATAAATCAAGATGAATAGACAAAACAGAATATTGTTGCAGATGAGGGCAACGATGATGGATGGATGGATGTTATTACTGCAGTGTCAGTTTAGAGACAGCAAAAAGGTAACTTGATGCAACTAAAATATAAAAAGATAAATGTCTCCTACACTTATGAATAACCAGGTTGAAGTTAGTGCATCTGGTTTATGAAGTACGTTTGAGAATATAAAAAAATGTATAGGTTTAAATTATTAAATTGTAAATGCTCCCCTTATAGATGCTAATAGTTGATAGATATGTGATTAAATCATCTATAAACACTTTATAAATCATTAATAACGTCTTATTATGCATTCATTAAGGGTGACAGAGAGACAAAACTCTTGTCAAATAGTGAACCATAATCTGTCCACCTATATATTTCATCTAGAGTTGTTATATTAAACATTTCACATTTACCTTGTGAGCACAATAAACATTTGTAAACCTATATATTTTTAGGATATATTAGTTGTAGATACGTTTTAAAGTTTTACATTTGCGCCGTCCAAGGTGGCTGCATGTTGGATTACTTTCATTCTGAGTTATTGCTTTTGAAAGCTTTAATTCCTATTTTTTCTGGATGTAAATCACTTTTTTTTCAGGTGATTGTTTCCTCTGGTATCGGATGTTGTGCAGCTGGAAGAATTTTTACGAAACCATTTTTACTCCTGGGCATTTGTTATGAGGTGTAACCATGGCAACATTGTGTTTGTTTTTAACAACCAGGAGCAGCTGATTAACATTTCAAAAGCTCAAATACCTCCACTACAGCACCAAATCCCAAATGAGTTGAAAAGGAGGTGCCGTGGATGAATTCCCATCAACCTGACCGGCGGCGCTCGAGTACCTGACCGCTGAGATCCTGGAGCTGGTGGGAAACTCAGCTCATGACAAGAGGACTGGGATCATCCCCTGGCACCTTCAGCTGTCTGTGAGGAGCTCGGCAGACTGCTGGGAGGAGTGACCATCACTCATAGAGGAATTCTGCCTGGTATTCGGTCAGTTCTGCTGCCCAGGAGGACCGAGAGGCCCACCAGATCTGACAGCAAACTGGATCTGGGTGGACGGGTCGGTATCTGTGGCCAGATTCTTCGGATTTGCTGCAGGAGATCCTTCCCACCCACAGCTATCAGCATCTAACCACTTGAATGAAACCAGGATAATGAGCTACGACAACACTTAATTTCCCTCTGGGATTAATAAAGTATTTTTGAATTTGAATTATAATGCAGTGATAAAGTACAATATTATATGCTAAAGAAATAGGTTTACAAATGTTTATTGTGCTTACAAGATAGTAACTAAGTCTGAAATGTATAGAACATATAGGTGAAAAGATTTGGCAAGAATCTGGTCAGTTTAGTCTCTGTCACCCTTAATTAACGCATAATCAGCAGTTATTAATCATTTTTAAGGTGTTTATAGAGGAATTAATAACATATCTATAAACTATTTATTAGCGGGGAGCCTCATGTTAAAGTGGTACCCTTAAAGGAAATATAAAATGTGAATAATTTAAAATAAGTCTCTTTAATCCCCGTTGTTGCTGATGGTAAAAAAGGACTTCCTAAAGGAATTCACTGGAACCCCTTATCCCAATAGTTTTATGATTAAGTTCACAGAAGAAAATACGATAAATACAAAACAAAGTTATAAATTAATGAAGATAATATTTTGGATGAGGGTTCAGTTGCATTAATTTGTGGTTGACTTTAAAAACTGTATTTTTTTCCACAGATCAGTCGTGCTTTTTTGAGCTTTAATCCACGGTAATTTACCAGAACAGCTTTCAGTTCAGTTTCTAATCCCTTAATTTTAAACAAAAACAATTATTTCCACATTAATTTCTATTTAAAATAGTTTTCATTTTTCATTGCGAACATGTTTGCTTTGTCATACATGAAACAAACAAATAAAAAAATAAAGAAAAAGCATGATTTATGGTTACTTTGTCCAAAACAATGGGAGTTTTGTAAGAAGAGATCAAAGCAAATGAAATGTGATGACGCTGGTTCATATCAAGCCTGGACGGAAGTTGTGAAATGCCGCCGAAGCAAATACCCACCGTCGTATTTCATTTGCATAAAACCAAACGGGTTGTTAAAATGAGAGAGCCGGTTCCACTCTCTCATGGTGAGGCTGTCGTTGTGAAGAAACAAGCGAATGTCGGGCAGGAACGCTTTCTGGAAGCCCTCGTCCTTGGTGTTACGCAGAGACTGGGCGCAAGTCTGAGTACAACAAATACATCTAAAATTATGGATTTATCGAAGACGGTTCAACGGTGGCAATACAAATTCAAAATAGATAAAAGCAAATCATACACAAGGAATATTTATTCACTCCAAAGGCAAGTGAACGCATGACCAGGCAGAAAGTTGCGTACTTCTGTAAAGTTCTTGTCCCGTCTTGTTTCAAAGCACTTACCGTCGGTCTAGGCGGAGCATTCCGGTTATAAATATCCTCAAAATCCCACTTAGGGAGCTTTTTGAAGGACTTTAAAGACAAGATCGGAATAGGAGTCTCAGGAGTGGTCTTCCGGAGAGTTTTCCTCGTCACTAAATTCCTTTGGCTCGTTGGATAACTTTTGCTATTCTCCGGCGATGGAGACAACACCCCTTCCTTTTGCCGTATTTCATCCCCGTCAATCAAGCCGTCTTCTCTGAAGCTTTTGTACCTCAATAAGCTCGTCCATCTGTGCATCAAAGGCCATCAAATAAAATAATAATCCATAATCAGCTGGAGAAATCATTTGCCCTGGATGAATCATAAGGCGCAGAACAGACAGAAACTCACTTGTTGCTTCCCGGTAAATCTTCCTGGAACAGGATTATAAGAATGATGCAGGCTGACGACACCAGCAGCAAAGAGAAAAGTCGAACTTTCTGAACTGCCATTCCCGAAGAACCGAGGTTTTGTTCATTCAAACGCAGACAAACTATTGTCTGCTGGGGGGAGTAATGCCATTATAGAGTCCTAAATGACGCCTTTCAGACCAGTACTGCCAGACGAGTCCGACAAGAAATTTAGGCACAAGGTAGCAAAACAAACTGATGTGCGTAAGCAGGTGACAGGGAAGGGCTGTTTGAGTAATGAGCACGTGACAGCGAAGCACGACACACACAGCTTCAAATCGTTCTGGTTTATTCCACAACACAGTAAACTTCTCTAACAGAAACAGAGCTCCTGGATTCCTTCGCAGGTGTGTGTGTGCGTTCACCTGCTGTGTGCAGAGGGCGCGTGTGGGACACGGAAGAGACAACGAGATTTGAAACACAAATGAACGCGCCGTTGAACGGGAGTTAGGTATGTAGGTGCGGCGAACAATGCAAACAAAGTTATTCAGAGTATCCGACGATCCGGATCGGTCCCGGGGTGAGAGCGGACAGGCGAGGAGGCGTCCAGGAGAAACTTCAGATGGAGTAGAGTCGGAGCTGCTCCTCTAACTCTCCCTCGGACACGTCCCCAAACGTCTCCTTGTTGTCTTTCAGCAGCTGGAAGATGGACGCCAGCTGTTCCCGCTGCACCCTGGGGGCGACACGACAGAGGAGAATTGGAAAATGAAAAATATTCAGTCAGCTCTGCAAACATTTGGTGTGGCTGTAGCTGAGTCATCCCCAACACAAACACTTGGTGATCGTTCAAAATCTTGTTTTATTACATTTTCCAAGGAGGCATGACTTGGAAAATGAGGAAATGCTGCCCCAGGATATTTGCAGAACTTCTCTGGTTTATTAAGTAATAACAATAACAACAATAATAATAATTATAATTATTATAATAAGTGGCTGGAGGTTATTAAGGTTTGGCTGTGAGTTAGTAATGAAAGAAAACACCCTAAAACATTGTTATTTTTGCACCTCTTTAAAATGTATCCTTTATTTTTAGGTATTTTTAAAATCTAATAAATCGTTACATACCACAGAGTTTTAAGATTGCTGTAATTAAACCTTTACTTAAGAAACATAACCTTGACTCAGGAATCCTAGCCGATTATAGACCTATATCTAATCTAACTTTCATCTAAAAAATTCTAGAGAAAATAGTTGCAGGTCAGTTACGTGATCATCTGCAAAGAAATAATCTGTTTGAAGAGTTTCAGTCAGGGTTTAGAGCTCATCAAAGCACAGAAACAGCACTAGTAAAAGTCACTAATGATATTCTCATGGCCTCAGACAATGGACAGGTGTCTACACTGGTCCTGTTAGACCTCAGTGCTGCATTTACAGATTATCATAATATTCTATTACAGAGGCTTGAATATGATGTTGGGATTACAGGAACGGCTCTAAGTTGGTTTTATTTATCTGATAGATTCCAATTTGTAAATATAAATAATGAATCTTCTTCATACACTAAAGTTAGTCATGGAGTTCCTCAAGGTTCAGTGCTTGGACCACTAATCTTTACATTATATATGCTTCCATTAGGTAATGTTATTAAACAACATGGGATAAATTTTCATTGTTATGCTGATGATACACAGTTATAT